GCGGGCTTTTACTGTGGAGAAGAACCCGGAAGGGCGCCATATTGCCAGGGAGTGCCTTCCCCCTCCCCCTCCACTGGAGTGCCCACAATATCCTTACAGTAAGAGCCAGGGAACCCTGCTCCCATGGGGAAGGCCTGTGATGCTCTAGGGTTTTGATGGACGGCGGAGGTCCAGGACCCGGTAGGAGGAAGGTTAAAAGGAGTGAGAGAAAGAGAGAGGAATGGGGGCTTAGCCTCCGGGGCCAGGGGAATGTGATTATGGTGAAGGTTTAAATAATCTACAAGCCTGACAAAAGGAAAAAGGGGGCTTACCTAACTAATGAGCCGGTGGTGGGTGAAGGAAGCCAGCGCCGGAGAAAATAGACGAGGGTGGACCGTCAGTCCTGGGGGGTTGCAGAGGAGTCCGAGGAGGTCCGAGGAAGGAGTCCCCTGGCGCGGGGTGAACCCCTCCCGGGTTTCGGCACCAATGAAAGGGCAGTCGGATGAAGGAAGCATGCGAGACCCGGGCTGACAGTTCACCAGAGAAGTTCCACTTTATTCAAGGACTGCACGTATATTTATAGGGAGCTGCGTTCTGGGTTTGGATAGGGGGTGGACGGGGCGATAGCTGATTGGACGGGGCTGGGCGGGGGGGTGAGCCTTCACCTGTGACTGGTTGAGGTTTGGTGCCGGCGGGCTTTTACTGTGGAGAAGAACCCGATCCTCATCGTCTGCCTCAACACCATCATGCTGGTGACCCAGACCTTTGCTGAGGTCGAGGTCCGGGGCCATAAGAGCCAGGGAACTCTGCTCCCATGGGGAAGGCCTCTGATGCTGTTCCAGGGCCTCCTGTGGGCCTGACCCAGTGCCTCACACAACTTAGCTCACTTGATCCGCAGCCCTGGGACGTGGATGACGTTGCCCAGTCTTAGAGAGGCGGCTCAGAAAGACATTGCTGAGGTCGGCCACCCCGCCAGCCACGGAAAGACCCGCCACGCTGGACGCTGTGCTGTTCGCAGCTACGGCCACCAGGCGGCGCACGTGTCCAAATACAGTTGCTGCTTCGGGCGGGAAGGGTCCCCAGCTCCCAGGGTCTGCTGCAAGGGTCAGGAGACCCTGAGGAGGAGGCCCTGGAGGGGTGACAATGGAAAGCCTGCACAGGCTGGCTCCTAAACCCGGTGGAACAGGGTGAAGGAAAGGACCAGCCACATGCTGTTTCAGGCTCTATTCCAAGCACTTTACTGTGTTAAATGCATTTAATGCTCATGACAACTCTGTCCAGCAGGCTTTTATTATGCTCGTTTTACAGACAAGAAAACTGAGAGACAGAGCAGTTAAGTCACACAGCCATTTAGGGCAGAGCCAGGGAGAGTTTAGGTATTTGGGCTTCCCAGTAGTGACGAGAAGAGAGAGAGGGAGCAGGGGTGCTGGGGACAGCCCTGAGTAAGCCCCTGATATCCCTACAGAATGGTACTTCCTGGCCTTGGACTCCATTTTCCTCTGCATCTACGTATTGGAAGCTCTGCTCAAGATCATTTCCCTGGGCTTCGGTTATTTTTGTGACTCCTGGAACAATCTAGGTGGGTAAGGATGGGTGTGTGATTGTGTGCGTGTGCAGATATGTACACACACATGCATGTGTGCATGCAGATGCACGTTTGTGCTTCTGATGCATGCATTGTGTGCGTGTGTGTGTGTGTGCGTGTGTATATTTTTGTGTGTGCTTGTGTATGCATGCATTGTGTGTGTGTGTTTGTTGCACATGCGTTGTGTGTGCATGTGTGCGTGTGTGCGTGTGTGTGCATATGTGTTTGCTTGTATGTCTGTGTGTGTGTGGGTGTGCTGGGAACCACTGAACTGTCTGGGGAGGCTGAGAATTAAAGAGAGGCAGGGACAGGGGTGTTGGCATTGGGAGGGCTGTGGGTCCTGGCTGGGGACCCAGGCAGAAGCTGGCCACACTCAGGCACCCCTGTACCCTCAGACTTCTTCATCATGGTCGTGGCTGTGCTGGACTTTGTTCTCATGCAGCTCCATTCCGTCTCCATCTACCACAAAAGCCTCTTCCGCATCCTCAAGGTCTTCAAGAGCATGCGGGCCCTGAGGGCCATCCGAGTTCTACAGAGGCTCAGGTCAGCGCTGCCACGGTTGCCCACTCTGCTGTGGGGAGTCTGAAGGAAGAGCGGACACAGGCCTCGGCCCCCATGGAATCCACTCAAGGCTTGACCTGATCAAGAGATGGGGGAGGGGGCAGCCGCAGACCCCAGCCCGCTTCCGATAAGCCTCCCGCCATGCTCTGGGATCAATCTCTTCATTTTCCAGAGGAGGGCCAGGACTCACCCTTGCCACGAACAAATCAGGGACCTCCTGCCTCCAGTGCCAGCCCTGGCTACTGGGGACAGATCCCCAGCCCCGCTGATTCAGCCTCCCTTTCCACCTCTTCCCACAGCTTCCTGACCAGCCTCCATGAAGTGACAGGGACCCTGGGCCGATCCTTGCCGTCCATCGCGTCCATCCTCATCCTCATGTTTACCTGTCTCTGTATCCTGTGGTGGAAGGGGCGGGGGCAGCAGGGACTCGCGCGGGTGGCAGGAGGGCTCTGACCAGGGGCTGGGCCCTGGAGCTTGCTTCGACCCTGAACAGCCAGTCCTCTTCTCCGTGGTTCTCCGGGCACTGTTCCGAAGATCAGACCCCAAGCACTTCCAGAACATTTTCACCACCATCTTCACCCTCTTCACTATGCTTACCCTGGATGACTGGTCCCTCATCTACACGGACAGCCGGGCCCAGGGTGGGGCGGTGCTCAAGCTGGGGCGGGACCCAGGGTGGG